GTAGCGTTGATTGATTGATTGATTGACGTCGATGAGGACCCTTGTATCTAATGTACCACTTGCTTGGCTATCCAACGGGCCTCATTCCTCGTTACGATTAGTATAAAAAGCCACACTTAGCACCATAGAAAGGTAATGCAAGCTTGCACATCCAAAATAAACATCGATTCTCTCTACTACACTCAACGGCTGGCCCCTTTTTTATGCACAAAGCAATTGTAACAACAACCTATGAAATGTTTCGGATCATTCCCTTCATTGATTCATCAATATAACTANCAATTATAACAACCTATAAAATGTTGTGGATCATGCCCTTCATTGATTCATCAATATAACTAGTTGTTAGATTCGGGCGTATTGCGATTCGACTTACGAAGACGCGAATATCTTATTTTCTGTTGGCCACGAATTAAAATCATTTTTTGGGATGAACAAAAATTACAAATTTTAAGAACTAAAAAGTATGTAGAAGCCCATGTAAATCAGTCACCGCGGCTTCGATGACTACTGGCCAACAGATAACCAATCAGAGACGTTAAACATTACGAATCTTTTCTTAGTTGAAGATCTCGGACAATTTTTTCACTTTGACAAATACGTTGGCGTTAATATTTATGTAATTCATGCATACATGACACACTGCAGGGTTTAACATAAGTTGGCATTATGTTGAGGAAAAAGGCTGGTTGTACAGCCTTTTTGTACATGAAGTTACACAGGCCACTCACATGGAGTGGGCCCTGCATTTTAACTTAATGTGTACAAAGGCTGTACACCAAGCCTTGTTCTTATGTTGAGGTAGCGTGTTGAAGTCTTCACTAGATCAACCATACTTTTTCCAAATTCTATCTTAAAGCTCAATTATTGAGCTTGATAATAAAATCAATAATACTGTAATTACATGGAATAATGCACATAATTGATACAGAATTTTGAATTTCACTCACATGGAGGTGGGGCTCCATGTAATTAAAATATTGACAAAAACATCCCACCCTACCCACTGCTGTATGTATTCTGTATGGTATAAGAATTCAAATTCCTATACCGAATTCCTATACGTATAACACGGTTCTATGAAATATGGTCAAGAATCTCAGGTGCCTCATTCACTCTTGGTTGATACTAGTCATGAATTTTTGCGTCTTGTTGCCAACCAGAATCATCTCTAGTGTT